TCTAGAAACTGCTTGACAAAACGCCAAAGAAAATGAAAAACCCAAGCTGAATGCATTACAAACCTCCAAAAGTATTTCATCTATAGTTAGAAAAACAAAACTGAGTCTCCTTATCTAAATATGGAGCATGGGAAGCTTGCAGGAAAAAAAAAAAGAAAAAAGGATGAAGCATTGTTTTGCTATGTCACCAGGATTTCAATTACCTGGCAAGGTATTGCTGTTCTCCCTTAAAATAAAATCAAATACCCACGCTGGAGGTGTGTGAGCATTTTGCTGTGCGGGGAGCTGGACCGGCATATCGTCCCCGCAGCGAGGGCTACTAGGAGCTGAAGAAACCACTGCTGCCTAAACTGCTGAGTAACCAGGAGTTAACATGCAAGCTTTTTACAAGCTATTTCATTTCTATGGGTCCTGGAGACTTCTGGAACCAATATGTGGGCTTCCTCAGGCTCAGAAGAGGAAGCAACGTAATATTCAGCGACAGATTTCAAAGGAAAATAGCATTTTAGAAAAGCCACTTACATCTGGTATTCAAACAGTTTGGTTTTTCAAAATGCAGGCTATTAAAATATTGATACACAAACAGGAAAGTTTGCTGTCCTGCTTCCTCCAGTTTGTACACACAGGGGGAAAAAAAGCAAATCCCCTCTGACCACAGAGATACAGACGCTGCATTGCCTCACGAAACCACCGGAGGAATGAGGGCAGAAGGTCTTGTTGATTTAGAAGTGTCAAACTAAGTGGTTATTAGTAAAATACAGGAAAAACCTGAAGCAAAAGGGCTGAAATACCACCGCAAATTAGAGATCGGTCACAAACCCACTGCTGCTGCATCACTTAGATGCCAAATCCTGCCTGGGACACAGAAGCCAGTAACTGGTCACACTGAGGAACAAAAATCTTCAAACCCTGGCATGTTTTCCACGACATAGGTGCTATTCCAGAGTCGGTGGCAAGTGCCTCATGGCTGGTTTTTAAGCATGTAGGGGGAAGATACACCTCAAAATAAAGTCATTCACCATGCTCCCCCCTTCTGTACTCGCTGCCAAACCACAGGCACCTGCCACAGAGATAAATTTCTGCAGGGCAGAGTCCAATTTCCAGGGGTGAAAGGGGTCTCCAGGTAAAAAGCCACCTCCACCTTCCGCTACTTTTGGCTTCCAGCTTTGGTTTGGGTGAGGGCACAGGGCTCTTTTATAATTCTACCCTCCCTTAGCCCTGACATTGCCCAATAAACCACCCCTAAAATTTTCTTTCCTCCTTCTGGCGTTCAGTTTTCAGCAGCCGTATCACACGTTCTCATTTAACAAGGTAGTAATTTGTCTTGAGATGAATTTCGTAATCCAGCTTTGCCAGCTCAAAAGCATCTGCTAGCTTTGGAGTGTTGTGCAATATTTTTGATGGGTTTGAGGCTCGCTGCAGTATCACACGTGCCACACAGGATGGATTCTTTCACCAGCCTCTGCCTGTGCTGCCAAAGTCCAAATTTTTCTAGGGAAGTTTTATAAATTTCACATGTTCATATCCAAATTGTCTGCAACCGGCTCTTTCTAGTATTGCTGTCTCCTCAAAGCTGTTTGCATTTGGAAGGATAGTTACAGTGCCTTCGCATTTACCGCACGACTCCAATCTTACTTCCTACTTTCAACACTTCAGCAAACTGCTATGTCTCACTATGGACACAAGAAATATAGTTTTTCTCTTTTATAGACTGTAAAAATAAGCATATATTAGGATTAGAAGAACAACTCCAAGATTTCTATTCCTCATTGACTGCAATATGTTTTTCCATGGAGAAGAATTTAATCAGGGAAAAGGTTCATTCTTACTGGTGCCTAAATTTTACCACCCTCTTTCATTTCCTATTGCACTCAGCAAAGCCAAATTAGCTCTAGTAATGTCTTTGGCCAGATGTTCACAGCTTAAAGAAAAACAGCACGCAGGCTGCTGCAAAATCTTAACAGTTTTAGGAATACCAGCTGACAGCCTCAACTCGTACTTCAAGCCCAGCTCTGTTCCTAACCACAGAGGCATTCTTCATCCTTCAGATCCTGCCTTACCATGCCACAGAAAAACAGAAGAAAAAAAAATTTCTGCATCTTTGAGGTCACCTTCAATTAATTTATTCAAAAGGAAGAACTTCACCTCTTGCTTCAGAAAAATGGTTAGGGATGGTTTTCATGCTATATCCAGATTTTTAAAGGGTTATTTGTACCGTCACATTGACTGCTTTAGTCATCAAATACATTTCAACTTCCAAAAAATTATTACCTCTGTGATTTTAAAAAGCCTTCGACGAATCTGAATGACTGCAAGGAATTTCAATACAAAACGGAAAGCTCAAACACCGAACCTGAATGGATATATAGAGTGTCACGTGAAAGTTCAGTCTGAAAATCAACTTCTCAGCTGACCACGTTTCCATTTCAACTTTTTCTGAACACCTAAAATTTTGTGTTTCTACTTCTCCAAGTGCAAAGCATCATCCATCCTGCAAACAGAGGTGCCTCAGGCCTCACCATGGATTGGGATTTCCCAATGCCGTGTCACTAGAGCTAGCTGGAAAACTGGTCTCTCATCCCAGAAAAAAAACAAGCAATACAAGAAGTTTTCCCCAAGTCTTCTCAAAATTATCCTGAGATGCACAAGCAGAGGGTAGGGGGGGAGCAACACACAAGCTACTGGATTGTACATCCGATAGGACTCTTACCAAGGATACGTCAGACCCAAGTTTATATCCATATTCTATCTAATTTAGAGCAGAGACGTGAAATTTGATGTCCTGCTACCCAGATGGATGTGCTAAGCTGACATCACGTGAGGAAGACAGCGGGGGCCCGCTCACCATCTTCTGCAAGAGCTCAGCCTCCCGGCACTGAGACACTTCCCAAAGTTTCATTAAAGCCAACCCTTTTTCTCGTAGACAACTGAATATTAAGGGATCAATTCCTCCCCTCTCCACCCCCAAAAAGAAAAATGTAGCTGATTTGGCTCTAGATAGCTCTAAGACAGAAAAAGTTCCTGCCTTAAAGAATTTGCAAATATATATATAAATGAACCAGGTTGTAACGCTGATGTGCCATTTGCAAAACAGGATCACAACTACGTTCAAAAATTAAACCGATGGAAGAAGACGATGACTATCATTTAATTACACAGCAGTAATTTTTAAAAAAGAAGAGTATCTGCCATCTTGCAAGTCATAACTAGAATTGCCATTCCAGTCCTGTTTAGCAGTGGTTTTCACTGCAGACAACTCACCTGGCTGAATTCTCTTTATTCCAAGCTGCTTCCAGTCTTCCAGGTTCTCCCTTCCCGCAAGCAGCTTACCAGGGAAATTTTGGAGCCATTTCTTTAGGCTCTCTTCTTAAGTCCTCAAAACAATCTCTCCCACCAAGTCAATGTCTCCTCTCCTTGACTCACCCAGCTTCTCTCTTCTCTGAAGCTCACCTTCCTATTGCTTTAAGTCCTTTCCTTCTCACCATCATTTTCTGACCTACTTTCCCCACCACGTTGTGCTTCCAATTTTAAATCACTTTTCCAGCTGCCCTTCACTCCCTGCCATATACTACTCAGCCTAATGCTGCCAGTTCTCATCCTGGGGATCTTTCCCCTTTGCTTTGTTACTGCAGATCTGCTTTTGCTCATTTTAATATAAAAATGAGAAAATAAACGATTGGTAAATGTGTAAATAGGTTACCTTGGGAAAACAGAGGAAAAAACAACATGGCAAAAAAACATTCTTGGTATTATGAAGGTTTTTTGCCACGTTGCTGTTAAGAAGCTTTTAAATAAGAAAAAAGAAAGAGCTCTTAAATGACAAAGGTGGCAAGGGAGCAGCAGGAGCACTTCATATCTTGGGTCATCCAAGAGTTCTGCATTAGACGTCTGATTTAGTCATGAACTCTGGCACAAACACTTTTGACCTCGCTGGGGAATAGGTCTGAACTAAAACAACACTGCAAGATCTACATGTTTTTGAGTCATGTGTTTCAAATGAAACATTCTTGCCCGTTAAATTTGGAGGTCATTAACTAACACTCCAAACAAGGGAAACCAACACGAGCAGCACCCCAAGCGATCACATACATCTAATTGCATCTACATTACACAGTATTTTGACACAATATTCCACTTGCACTACGTCGACGTGTGCCGGACCGCGTGACGGCTTTTCTGCTGTTGCAGGAGGCAGAATAACGCTGACAGCTGTATGTTTGACATGGAGGAAGACTATGGATGGGAAATTGCATCCCTGTTTGTTCAGAAAACCACTTGCAGTGTAAGAGCATCTTTCCAAGCTGGCTTTAATGTGCATGTTAAAGATGCTTCCTGAGATATTTTTCCATTTTAACGCCTACCTCAGTGTGGTACAGCCCTTCACAGGCACAAATGTATCTTCTAAAAGCAATTTGTGACTTCAGTAGAGGCAGACAAGAAAGAGTGATACGTCCCTCTACCAACCACAAGGGAACAACCCCCATTTCTTCTCAGAGGGAGAGAGTTCGATTAGCCAATGTGTGCGTAAAACAGCCAGTAAACGATGTTGTTTCTTATTTTGAGGATGCAGACAAAAGTGCCACGTACTTGCTTGCACTACACTGAGAGGTGATAAAATTAACCACTACCAACCACAAACTTTTAAAAATGTGCATCCACCTAGCTCAAAGATTCTCTATAAATCCATTTTAGACCACTAAACTACTAGCCTTTCCTTCAAACATGAAAATTAGCAATAGCTTTTGGAAAGGAGGATACTAAATTAAGAGGGATAAAATGCATCTTGCTTTAACGACTCACCTGAGAATCTATTTTAATTAGTGCAATGTCAGCTTTTTCATCAACATCTTTAATTTTAGCTTCATATGTTTCACCATTCTTCAGTTCCACCTTCACCCGGTTTTTGTTGGTGACGACATGGGCGTTTGTCACTATCAGTCCATCTTCTGAGACGATGAACCCTGAAGAGGGATAAAATGCATCTTGCTTTAACGACTCACCTGAGAATCTATTTTAATTAGTGCAATGTCAGCTTTTTCATCAACATCTTTAATTTTAGCTTCATATGTTTCACCATTCTTCAGTTCCACCTTCACCCGGTTTTTGTTGGTGACGACATGGGCGTTTGTCACTATCAGTCCATCTTCTGAGACGATGAACCCTGAACCGCCGAATAAGGAAGTCTAAAAGACATGGGAAATAAACATTTATCGCTGCAAAAAGTTGAAAGATCACAAATCATTCCAAATAATACACGGCCAAAAAGAGTTCCGTGTTTTTTAATGCTTTAGGATATCTGCTGTTACTTACTATCATTAAGAAGATAATGCACATGCATTAGTTTAACTTTCTTTTTTTTTGCCAGGAGTCTTAAATTATCTTTAATTCTTAAGCATGACAAATATTTATAATCTCAAAAACCACTTTGCTATTACATAGCATCAGTCAACATTCCTGGCACAGTGGCAGCTGTTTTCAAGAATACAAAAATCAAAACCGGGCATCTTGTTTACTTGCGAAATAATTCAATGTGAACCACAGCAGGAGCTATCTTCTCCACCACATCTGCAATAAAGTTGTATTTGTGCCGCAAGCTATTAGGATGTTCTTGGCCTGAAATAGAAACAGAAAACATGTCATGAGCTCTTCAAGTGACAGGAGAAGGGTCATTGCAAAACACCTGAATTAAAAGAAGTTCCAAGTGGATATCTTTCCCCTCCTTAAAAGTCATCTGCAGCATAACCCTTGCCCCCAGATTTCCCCTCTGCCTCTCTGCACAGAAGCGGCAGCACGCTCTATCATCAGGACAAACGGATCCATGAAACCTTCTTGTTTCAAGTGCACGTAACTGGGCCACGGGGCAGCAGGTCTGCTGCTCCGAGGGTGGCTGGTGCAGCACACCCCACCGCGGCAGCTCCTGGGGCGCAGGCACTGCAGGGCTTAGTCCCTCTCTGCACCGCCCAAAAAAAAAGCTACTCCGATTCTGCTCTCACCTCTTTTCTGGATGGTCTATTTAGCTTGTACGGTCTTCTCAGATTAAATAAACGGGCTCTGTTCCTCTGCCAAAATGCGCCGCCTTAGTGGTTTTTGAAGTCTCATGCTGCTGCATTTGTAAAATGCTGACAACAAGGTCCTAACCCCAGTGTAAGCCCACAGCAGCCGCTGTGAAAGTTTAACTCGGGTACGAGGTTTGGGCTGCCTCTCCCACCGGTGTCCCCGCACAGCTTGAACCACCAGCTTCTGCCTGGCACCTAAACGTGGATGCACGTTATGTACGCTCTACACAACCATACTCGAGGCACCCTTTCCACTGCCACCACCTGCGGTCCATCAACTCCACAGAGGAGTGGGTCCCATGTACTTTGGAGTTACTGAACCCCCTCAAGGCTATAAAATAGATACGCACACGAAAACAATGGGACCACAAAGCTCTGCATTCCTCAGCAGTGCTGTAACACAAAAGCTCATGGTCACTGAGTATTCAAGAGAGGTCAGTGGGATTTTTCAAAAGCAACTGGATACCAAACTCCCATTGTGGCCAACAGAAAACCTGTCTGCACCACCAGATGCTTAAAAATCTCTGGAAAAAACTCACAATTCTGACACAGCTTCGCCTTCTCCAGTAGTTCGGGGGCAAAACTTTTTTTTTAAATTGGGAGCAATTAAGCAATTGGAACACCCCAAAGAGTTATTTTGTATTTCCCTGGAGGCAAGAAACACCCTTTGCTTTCATTAGTCTTCCCATTTTATCTGATGCATCCATCTCACGTTATAAAGGCACAAGCCAAATCTGCAATTGACTTTCAGATGAATATTAATGCGCTGTGCTGCTCCCATCCATCCTTGCCATTTGGCTTCCAAATCCATCCAGAGATTAAAGCTGTAAGCAGCTTGTGGATGCCCTAAGTGCCTGTGACGGTGTAACATGACGATTTATTTGCAGAATTGCAGGAGGAGACACGGGACTATCCTAGAAAAGCATCCCAATACCGATACCTGAATGATCTTCATTATCTGAAAACCAGACTGGAAAACTATGCAAATTTTTAAGTACCTACTGGAGGGAAAAACCCAGGGCAGGAGATTCAGAGGAATGATTTGGGAACAAAACACTGCTGCTTTTAATACTAACCAGATACTGGTGCGATTCAGGGGTGAACAACGGGTTTCAGGTGACTTACCAATGCCAACTAGCATATACTGCCCTCATGAGCTGGGTGGATGCTCCACCCAAGCATCTCTGATCACTCAAGAACATGTTTTTTTCCCCATATATACCCTGTGAAGCATCTCCAGGGCTTTTAAATGCAGTCAGTCATGAACAGCAGCCACAGCAGTAACCCCATAATCCGCTATGCGGTTTCAGATCACAGTTCAGAGACGTTAATCTGCTTTATTCTGCAGGAATGTTGATCAGCAAACTTGTGTCCTCAAAAGCATTCTGTGCTTTGTCTGACTTACAGATCAGCTGTTACCCTTGGACTTTTGTGTCAGAAAGGCATAAGGGCTTGCTAACTGACAAACAGCAATGTACCAAAGGATTTATGGTCTCTTCATTAGAAATATCCAGTATCAAATGAACCACGTCACGGCTGTAAAGCTGACAACTATAATGGGAGTGTTTTGGAAAACGGGTAGGAGAATGAGAACTGCAGTTTGGAAGTATTCACTCACATTAAATAGGAGCTTTGACAGATTATCAGGTTGGATTAACGTGATGTTGGGATCAAATGCCACAGGGCACCGCTGTATCCATCAGTAAGCTTTTTGATCACTGCTTATAAAATGATTTCATCTCAGTTACAATGCTGTAGACATTCAAAGGTCACATCCTGCCCTTGAAAAAGAGAGCTCCCAGCGATGAGGGAACTGCACAGGAAACAGCTTTTTTTTAATGCCTTCAGTCTTTTTTGCATTTAGCTATTCAAGAAGAGAAAGGATGCCTAAGCTGTACATGGTGAGACTACTAATACCTCATCTCAGAGCTTCACTTTGAGTCGGAGGCTACGAACGCCAAGATTCAGAAGTGACAGTATTCTGCGTATAATCCGCCTCCTCGCCCAGTCCCAAACTCAGCTGCCCAGTTAAAAGGTCAAAACTTCATACTCTGAAAAAGTTAGATAATAAATACTGATTCATGGCATACTGACCTAAAAAGCTTACAACAGCTTGCCACGCCTGCCTATTGCTTATGTATTAGGAATTCTTGCATTGTGTAACACAGTTTTGCAACAGCTCTTGAACAACTGCCCACTTAAATAGGAAACATACCTTTTTTAAGCAAATAAACAGAAGTCAAAGTACCATTCAGATGAATTCATTGACGAATGCTAACAAAAAAAATTCCTATGAACTGGTCTTTACCATCATGTGATAATATAAAATCTGAAGGCTATAGTAAAAGTATTAATATGTTGAAAATTTCTTCTATCATTGAGAAAAAGTATCATGGGGGGAAAAAATGAGACCAAAATGGACACGTGTGCATGCATACCATTTGCCCATTACTTACATACTTAATGCTCACCATAGCTAATTGCTTTTTGGGATTACTGAGCAATGCACGTAAGAGCTGAGAGGTGCTCTTACCTTTCCTATAAGCAACCACCACCATGTAAAACTTTATCTTAAATTTGAATCACCAGTAGGCACAGGCTACTATGTGGAAGCCTAAATTGCCATAAAAATGCCAATAATACAAACCTAATATGAGCAGATGCTCATTCCTCAACCACCATACAGTAGTTTCCAGCCATCACCAACCACTGTAGAAGACAGTGAAATTCAGAACTTCTCAGGAGATACTTTCCTCTTCTCTCTAACACGCACATTCTTCCAGTTGTGCTGATAGTTCAGGGTTTTACTAGAAAATACAGTTTTAGGAGTGGAATGGGCATCATGCAACATCCTCCAAGTTTTCACGTTTTAAGAGCTGGAGACTTGCTTGGCTATTAAGCAACAAAAAAAGCAACAGCTTTAAGTTTTGATCGATGATATGGTTTTGACTATTTAATCCCCACTGCCAGTGTACTCCCGACACATACATCTAACCACAATGCCCATCCTGACTTATAAGTACCCCGCAAGCAGGGGGGTAACTCTTGAATTCCACACTTAAACTGGTCCCCAAAATGTAGATTTCTCAGTTTAAAACTGCTTCTTTGGTATAACCAGTGTTGAATCCATGTGAATAATGTTTCCCTAATTTTCTGGCCTTTTTCTTCTTTTTTTTTTGGGTGTTTTGTTTTTTTTTTTAAACCACACCCTTCTGGAGTTTTGTTCTTAGTGGAGTCTTTTCATTGTTTTTTTTGGTTTTGTGTTTGGAGTTGGGGTTTTTCGTTGGTTTTTTTTGAACATTGAGAGGTGGGCTTGAATAAAGCTCTAGTTCCTAAATACCTTCAGGCTTTGATGTTCAGATCTTTGCAGCCTGTTCCTCTTTCTATTTATATGCTTGATTATTTGTGTTTTGTAATGTTTTTATTGAACTATTGCACAATGCCCTAAATGCCCATGAGCATGGTTAAGAAACCTTTATTAATGACATTATGAAGATGATTGTTGTGAATTCAGTTAATGATCAAAAACTGACTTAAAGAACCATAAATAGGTTACAGCATGAAAAATTCCCAAGGCAACTAATTCTTCAAGGACTTCAAAGGTGTGCTGGCTGTCAGCCCTCGAATGAAAACGAAAACTTCTGCCAACTGACATTAATAGGGCTAATATCAGTAAACAAGCTGCTAGGAGGCAAGACAGAATTCCAAGCCATGGAAAAAAGCACACCCGGCTGTAAACAACTGAAATAATTTAGTTTCATAAACGTGAACCAAAAAACATATTAAGATCCAGGTTCTGATTAGGTCATTACTCAAAGTGGCATTGATGCTTTAAGGCTCATACATGCTGCTTTTGGTAATATGTTGAGCTAAACTGAAAAGATGCTTTGGAGATAGAAATCTCATAAAAGTAACCTCTCCCCTTCAGTTGCGAGAACTGTATCTGCTCTTCTGGAAGGTCTTCTCTCAGCATAGGTCCACCTCTCATGAGAACAGCTCTTCACACAAAGCTTTAGGCACGTCTCAAGTCAGAAATGGATCTTTTTCCCCATCCAGTTTTCACATGTTTTCCCCCTTTCAAAGAAGGGGTTCTGCTCTCATCCATCAGGACCAGCTCAGCTCGCTGCCCATTCTCTTCTGCATCCTGCAGTTTGCCTGCGCTAAGGCATCCTCAACACTCCCGTGTCTCCTTTTCCACTGTCTGAAGTTAGAACCAATACCATTATCTCATCGTATGGGACTTTTTACCCTAGATACAGGGAGCGGGAAAAAAGGCACACCCCAGCAAACACCAGCAAGTCTCTCCCTCCCACCCTCGCTTGATGTGACCACACCAGATATCCTCATGTCTTAAGTCAAAAAGCTCAGATTCAGTCTGGAATCGAGCCTTCCATTTCTTTAAAAACAGCAAGAAACTTTCATTCCCATTAAGATTAAAAAACCCCCACAACTTCCCATGAAACAGTAATCATCCAAGACAGCTGCAACTATCAGTATGTGTAAGTTTATAACTGTTAAAGAGGATGCTCACACGCAAATTGCAGGGAGGGTGGAGCA